GCTATACAGATCCAGTTTATCAGTCACGCGTCGCCGGGTTTTTCTGAGTTTTCTAAGAGATCATGTTATTGAAAAATTATACTTCTTAAATTAAAATCTGAAATTTTATCCTCCCTTTCGATTCCATTCTTATTTATTATAAATGAGAAAAGCGAACGTTTTTGCAATAAAAAAATTAAAAACTGGAAAAAATTTATAATTCATTTGATGGAATATTTATTATATGCACAACGCATTCCGAGCAAAGTTACGACCCTTTCCAGAAATGAGTATGAGAAAATGGACTTATATAATAGTTGTTTTCAGGGACACCTTAGCTCATGGGACCGCTGGGTACATGCCGAAGGGGCTCACGAACATAGAGGGCCCATGCTAAGCTGTGTAAGCCAATTGATTTGCCATTATTAAAAATACATTTGACATTTAAATTAATTGTATGTAATCTAAAATCAAAATTATATATGATGTGTTAAAATGTAAGTTACTGATAGCTAGGACAGATTCGTGTCTGCATATTTTTTATCCGAGGCAAAGAGGTAAATGCTCGCCCCTGTATATGTTTGGCACAGTTCGGGGGGAGGGGAGGGAAGTAATGAGCTAATTTGTTTAAAAAAGTTTAAAATTGCATATTTTTTTAGGTTCAAATTTTGATTAGAAACTTAAAAAAAAAATTAAGTAACGTTTGGATCATGTATATAGTGTATAGTGTATATGACTTCTAATCTTTCAACTCTATAGTTATAGATTTGGAAAAACAATTTCGCATTTGTCCAGAATCCTTAAATGATGATTTTTGTAAAGGTCGATCATTGGTAGCATTGACATCAGAAAATACTGCGCATGGTCTTGGATGAAATAATGAGTAATAGGAGATTAAATGTGCGCGAGACAGCAACAAGATTGGATCTATCTGAAACTCTTTTGCGCATTCCGCATGAACACTTCACACGAGCAAAGTCTCTGCAAGATGGGTCACTTAACCAGTCAGCTACTCTGACTTCTTTCAGTCTTTCAAAACTAGCAACGTGGACTTAAAGGAGCTTGACTTCGCTTTACAGCCCAGATTTAGCTTCAAGTAATTATTAACTGTTCTCTACACAAAACTAAGACCTTAGCGATTTAATGATGATGATGGCGTTAAAAGAACAGATATGGAACATTTTGAAGTCAAACATTCAAATTACTTTTTCAGTGGCAAAGAGCTGCTTACTAAACGTGAAAACTGTATCGAAGTATAGAGAGATCATGGTGCAGGAGGGGGACTGCTAAATTTTTCTTTTAACAGTAAGGGCGAAAACATTTGGAACTATCTGATATATTTACCATGTTCTCAGCAGAAATGCTTCCAAGAACATTAGTAAGATCTGGAGATCAGTGTTACTTGCAGAAAATTTTGCTGTCAGATCCACAATGATCAATTTAATGGATTGGAGACTTTTCTTTCAAAAATTTACGAATATTTAGGTCCCAATGCAGTGATCAGATGCAATCTTTGAAATCCTCATTCAGTTTTCGAATTCGTTGTGTTTTGGCTAAAATTCGTGCTCGCAAATGTCCGAGCGGGTAACACTGGCAACCAGTCCTGGTATGTTAGGTTAGGTTATTTAATTACGGCAAAGCTTCGAGGGCTATCTGCCCAAGGGATGGGATGCCTTCGTGGAGGACTTTCTAAGCTGGCTCGTTTACACGTTACACATGGGGAAAACCACGAAAACACCCATGCAGCCAGCCCGTTCGTGGGATTCGAACCTCGGACCGAACTACCAGTGTTCAGCGACTTTACCGCTCGGCCGCTGGTGGGCCCCCAGTCCTGGTACGATTCATGGTGAACGGGTTCGCGACTTTCGAACTTTCCACATGTGGTAGCTTGAGTATGAGATGGTTTCATTGATATATTCTTCACGAAAGCATAACCCCCCCCAAACAAAATAACCTCACATGTTTTATTGTAATCGATTGATTAAAGTATTAGTCTTTAAAAAAAAGCATATCTTTCATCAGACGAATGAATTTTTATTGTAAAAAATTTGAACTTGAGCACAATATAATATGCCAACTAATTCTGTTTTAAATATGATCAATTGAGAGGCTGAAAAATAAAATTTTATAACTTATTATCATATTTCTATAATATAAGCATTATTCCAAAGTCATTAAGATTTAATGTCACTTCGTGCTTTCCCTTTACTTTACTCCGCTTCATCAGTTAATTCTGCGTACTTCAGTGTATTAAAATTCGCAAATAGGTGCTTTTGTTAATTTCTGTTCGCACCAATAAACAAATTTAATGTCTAATTTTTGGCCTAATTTATTTATTTTTTTTTATTTCAGTTTAAATCTGTCACTTTATAGCGTTCGTTGTTTTTCTCTTTCTTCAGGTTTCATTTTTTTCAAAAACTACGTTTTTTAAAATTTCTTTCCCAAGAAGCATATCTTTTTAATATATTCTTTTTGTCCGTTATTTCAGAATAAAAAGAGAGAAACTAAGCTTTTTAAGACATGTTCTTTTATATCAATATCAGTTACACTAGAAATAGTCAGAATATTTTTTTTAAATCTTTCACAAAGAACTTAAAATTATTGCCTTAAAAAAAAAAAAAAAAAAAAAAAAAAAAAACTGGTACTCGTACTAAACAATTCATTTTATGTTTTTATTATAAACAATAGATCAACTCAAAAAAAATAAATAGAGAGAGCGAGAAAGATTGAAAAATATTGTCTTTTCTTATATGTTTACATTCCAGTCTTTTCAGAGAATGACTTTAAATGAGTAGGTCAGGTCATACAAGTGCCAGGACATAGTCCGATCCTGTGTGTAATATTGTGATAAAATTGATAACAATTATGGTTAGCATTTCAAAGGTGGTAATTGAGAGTATTTTTTAGAGAATGTGCCAGACTATTTAATAATCTGTAACTGCTCCTAAGATAACTGTAAGCGAAACCAACTTTACAGTTTCGCGCAAATTAAATATCAATACAAAACGGCAAAACCTAGAACTAAGCATCTTATTCAATAATACATTTTACGCACAAAAAACAATGAGACAAACTATTGAAAATGTGATATGTATTTTATTTTTAAACGTCCTTATTTAGCCTCCCGATGCTATTCCAATAAGTTTTATGTGATAAGTCTGTTGCAAAAAACTACAGGCAGTTTCGTCGTCCATATTCAGTTATCAGACTTACGGCGAACTAAGAAAAATAAGACTTATAGTCCAAATTAAAAGGGAAATAGTACAGAATTACTGATGTTAGTAGCATGATGCTTTGTAGGAAAGTTTAGCTTGTGCAATACATATACGTGAACAAATTAGCCTCAATACATTATCAGATTCAATGTTCCGCCTTACTTGCTTGGGGAACATTCATGAACCTGACTCGGAACAGGGAGCTTACTAAAAGCTATGTTCAATAAATGTGGGAAGTAGACAAGATACACAGGAAGGGTATACGAAACCCTTTATTTTTCACTCTTTACAATGATTTCCGTACTTCAGAATACAGAGACCAACCACTTGTGGTCTGAACGTAAGAATATAAAAATATTAACTAAACTCTAACTTAACTTTGAAATAATAAACAAGGGCCTACGTGGAAGATTGGCCGTATATTAACAGGAAGCCGTATGTAGTACAGAGAACTGCTAACACTACAATACTTTTAAAATTATCAAGAGGATTAAACCTCTGGCCTGGAAGACAACCAGCAACCGAGTAAAACTGCTAAGGCAAGCGGCCTGCTTCTCCTAACTCCTTCCTCTCTCTTGCTTGGCAAAAAGCACAACTTAAGTACTTGGCGTTCGCCAGACAAAATTTGCATAAATAAGTTAAAGCTTTTAATTCTGGCCGGAAGTAGAAAATAAGAAGTGATAGTAAAGATTTAAAATAAAAATAAACGTTAGTAAAACTTAAGATCCTTACAACATTAGTTCCAACAATAAATTTTAATGTTAGAAAATAATTTATATACTGCTGTAAAAGATCAGCAGTTTTGAGAAATTAACTTTATTCATTCTTCTCTTGGTTCAGCTGAATTGTTTTGTAACAGAAAATTTTTTTGATACTCCTTAACGTATTCCAAAGTTTAAATTAAATAATTGTAATTTCTTTCCTAAAAAATGAATTTCAAAATTTTCGTAGCTAATTTGGAGCCCCTTCTAGTTATTCACCTGAGGCAAGTGCTTCTCTGCCTCACGCTTGTTCCGACTCTAAGCTAAGGTAAGATTCTAACTCAATAAATATATACTTAATATTATCGACGATTTACTATCAATTTCTTGTGTAACTGTCGTAGGGGTCCATAATGCTGCAGTGACTAATTGATAGCAATTAGAATAAAGCGGTTATGTTGTCTATTAAATTACCACGCATTATTATATTTACTTTAATAAGAAATAACGCAACAGGATTTTTAAAAAGTGAATTTAATTTCTGTCGTGTGAAAACGATGTCCACTATCAGACACCAATACTAGAAATACTGAGTGTTGGAGTAAATTAAAAAAGAAAAATATAGCGCACTGAAAATTAAATTCTTCTTCTGTGAACAAACTAGAGGTATGCCTAAATCTAATGATAATGTACTGGATGAATCTGAAGTTGAGGCTCCTTCATACCAGATGCAAGTTCGTCGCGAGACTTTTTTTTAAAATTTTGTAACCTATAGAATAAAAACAAAAGTTTCAGTAACCTAGAGTAAACTCTTTAGTGATCACAATCTTCCCTAAAAATCTTTGAGAATACAAAGATCAGTATTAAACATTGCCTCTTTAAGACAATCACCTACACAGGAGACCAAAAATATATGGAATCGTGGATTTTAGTTTTTTAAAAAGTTCACTATGTTTTTCTACTTCTGTTACCTCAGGAAAACGTTTGAATGAAAACTTTTGTTTGTGAGTTACCCATTCCTTTTTTTATCTGGCTTTGACGGCTAAGAAAGGGAGGGAATTAAAAGAAATTAAAAGAATATATAAGGTAATTCTTATTCTCTTACCTTGTTCGGCCTTGACCATCTGGAGAAGTTTACGTGAGGAAGTGCATTACGTAAAGTTGACTTAGAAGATGCAATTTGATGCGCAAGTTCGTTTTTCGCGCTTTGGCAACGAGTCAGTGTCCCTTGATTTACCTCTTGATTCTCTTGATAAAATTTTTCTGTCGCCGTGACACCACGACTGTGCCGCCAACAACGCTTTCGCGTCTCATCGGTTTGAACACCCTTGGCGACTTTAGTGCGACGTTTGATGACGGCATAGCCGGCTTCAGGAAACTTTATTTTCAATGGAGAAGCTGGAGCAGCCATCAGAGTTTCGGATTCAATCTGGTTCCATGGCAGCCTATTGGATACTCCGTCTTTCTCTGAATTTCTGGTTGGAGAAAGTGTATTTTCTAAGAAATCAGTATAAGTTCCATTGGAAGTCAAAGTTAATGGAAGCTTGATATTATTTACATCACAACCATTATTTTCTTGTACAGAAACCTGTAAAATAGTAAAGGATTTGATTTAATTAATTTCTAACATTTCTACAATTCATATCAAAGAAAAACTTTCTTTCTAGCAAAATAAAATATGTAAAAAAAATATCCCTGCTGCTAAATTTTTAAACAAACACTGATGATCAAATTATACTATTTTTCTCATCATAATAACAAATTTTATTAGCATGCTGAGAGGACTAATTTCCATTAAATTAATAAACTCATTAAAACCTTTATCTGTTTAAAAATGGTTGCCTTAATGTAGGGCTTAACAGAAACTAATTTATATCAATTTATATACGGAAAAATCTTCCGAAACATTGCATGCTACCAACCATTTCGAATCATCAGGTATCCAAACCATGTCAAACCAACAATGTTCCGTGGTTTTATCCATCCAGGCACTTTTGATACCTATAGGGTCTTTCTATACTATTAAAGGGGGGATTTGTATTTGGAAAACAAATCATGACAAACTAGTATATAATTGTTCATATCACGTTACAAAGACCTTGATATAAACTTATTCTGAACTCCAAATATAAGTTAATGAACTGCAGATTAACATCCACAATTTACGCTATCACATATAATAAGACTTGCTTTAGTTTTAACTCAAAATAGGTGATAGTTGTTATAGAATAGCTTATGTGAGAAGCGTTCTAATGCTTTATAACATTAGTGTCATGAATAGCAAAGCAAATTTTCAAGTACTTGTGTATTAGCCAATCAAAAAATAATTTCGGGATACTTAAGGGCGAAGAACACAATGACAGGAGACCAAAAGTTAGTTTAATAGAGGTAACCTAATTTAATTATAATACATTTCTACATTTTCTTTCAGATTAATTATGTTGTATGAAGCAACACTTGTAGAACTATTAGGTATTTTTGAAAGCAGGAGAGATGAAAAATGAGCAATGTCCTCGCCGGGACTTGAACCACGAACCTCTCGAATTCACGTCGAGCGTGCTGCCACTACACTACGAAGGCATGCTAAGAAGGCGGGAGAAATACCTTATATACTCCTCCTTTTAAAGGGAGACTAAGGTTTTAGGGAACCCAATCGCCAAATCCTGACGGTGAAGAATCATTATTCACCACTTTTTTAGTTCGGGCGCCACTGTAGAGACATTAGGTTATTTCAAAGCAGGAAAGATGTGAAAAATGAGGAATGCCTCGCCGGGACTCGAAACACAGACCTCTGGAATACGGGTCGAGCGTGCTGACCACTACACTACGGAGGCATGCTAAGAAGGCGGAAGAAATACCTCATGCTCTTACTTAGAATTTATTATAAATTTAGTCACATATCTTTTGATAAGGCTAAGTTAAGGACTTTCAAACATACATCTGGTGATTTCTAATCTGCACTGTGCTATCATACAACAACCCATTTCCCTCCCTTGCAATTCTTTGATTTATATGTTTTCCTATCTATAAAAAACGAATATCTATATAATTAGTTCATATTTTGTAACCGCATATAAACGAGCACGTGGATAAAATAATAGAGATAATACAACAAAATTCAAGATGCCATAATATTAAATTTATGCTGTCTCCTCTAATATTTCATTGTGTTTATGATACTAATTTTTGTTTCGAGTCATTTGTTGATTATTATTACCATTATTGTATAGAGCTGAACTTAAAAAAACATCTGAACAATGGCATCATAATTGAACATCTTAATTAGAGACAAGAAACTAGAAAAGAAGACTAAGAAAACTAGACTGTTTAATCTCACGAACAGTAGAGTTAATTATATTGCATGGAAAGAAATTGTTCATTTTCTTTCCCACGTTTTTTATTCTTTAAATGCGTTCCTGAATGCAAACTTTGCTAGTTTTGGTTTTTAACATAATTTGAAAAGTTTTAAATAGCATTTTTATATGTAAAAAACCAGTCTGGCATCAACGGAATTTTATATCTCCGGATTGCAATACTTATACATTACATAATGCAATACTTATACATTTCAATAGGCTCCAAATGTAAAATAAAACATTAAGTTTAAAAAAAAAATTAAGTGCAGTAAGCTGCAGTAATTCAGAGGTTAATAATTAAAATCAAAATATATTCAAATATCACATTCAATTTGGCAATATAGTAATTGGTACAAAAACGTAAATAAACCAGTGTACCAATTTATTGCAGCAAAAAGTAAGTACATGAAGATTGTGAAAATATATATCTAGCTTCATGTACTTGACTCTTTTCATAACAATTGATACAGTCACAACTTTTATGCCAATTCATTTTTTATTGCAACACTGAATGTAACATCTGAATTTGGTTTGAATTTATCTTGATTTTAATTATATATATGTAAAGTATAAAATATGAAACAAAATTATTTAACTTAATTGGGACCAAATGACAACAGACCTTCAAATGCATTAATTTTAATTAAGCACATCTCCTCCTCAACGATACGCTGTGCACCGTTTTTCGTCATTCTGAAAGATGTTACGTCGCTCGTTCCCTACAATACTCTGCACTGCAACGTCTTTGGCCCAACTGGCTGCTCAGGATTAACACAAAGACTTTTCGGCTTTGTGTTACGACCGCAGTTAGTTACGCATTACTTTTTCTCGCCTGTTTGAATAAATCACATCTCTCGCTTCGTCTTCTTTCTGTACTGCTGAAGAAAATGTAAGTGCACACTTAAAACTTTTTGGGAGCAGATTGCTCCTTTATGCTCTGCTACTCAATATGTCTGAACAACAGCGTAATCCAGTAATAAAGATATAATGTTCTCATCCAAGGATTTTATGGTTCTTTTAAGAGTTTACGACATCTATTACGCCGTCTGTATTGCACGTCATACCGATTACCACTCCGACCATGACTAAAAAGTGAAAACGTACATGACTGCGATCCTCTAAACTACAACATCATATACATATATGTGTGTGTAATAATTTAGATATCGGCTATGTATACATGCATAAAGATGTTGCAGCAATCATATCACACTAACACACTTTATTTCTTCACAAAACAGTTCTTTACAAGACAGGTACAATACTAAGACAGCGCAAGAACATGCACCGATTCTTTACAAATTCCAACATTACTATAGATTGAAGCGCTATGTAAGAGCATACGTCATTAGCGTTATGTAAGAATCATATGACAAGAATTACTTTTGAAATGACGTAATTAAGATAAATTTATTAAAAGCAGTTACTAACTTTATTGTAAAAAGCAACCAAATTAAAAAGCGCAGAGTTGACAGACTATATCATATTAAGTTGGAATATTGTTTTACATATTTTTTACTTCCTTGTACGAAGTAAAAAGGAAGTATTGTAATCGCGAAAAGCTTCAGGCAGCAGATTTCAACGAAAATATCCACTTTGACCGCTTTCGAATGCAATTTAACGATGTTTTTGCGTAATATCTATACGTAAGGACAGAATAAAAGACTCTTTTCCTCCAAAAAAACTAAAAAACTGCTTTAAAATGAATTCTGAAGAGAATTTTTCGTGGCGTCTGTACGAACGTATGTACGTACGTGCGTACGTATCTCGGATAACTCAAAAACGAGTAGCCTCAGAACGTTGAAATTTTGTATATAAGGCTACTATAACATGTAGATGTGCACCTCGTATTTTGGTTTCAATCGGCCCCGCCAAATGCATATAAATATATCCACTCTGTTACCCGGTTTAGTGATCTCAGTTTCTTTACTCTTATATGTTTGTAAATTGTACATTTTTTTGTTTTAAAAATGATTGAATTATGTTGTTTGATCTTCCCGTTAAAGTTCTTATGCCTTTCGTAATTCTGGAAGCAATATTTGTACAATTATCAACAATTTGAAAGCTGTCTAAGTGCGGTTAAGTTTTAAATAACATGGTGGACATATTTGTTTACATTTGAAACAGCAGAATTGTAGATTTGTTGCCAATCTAGAGACACTAAGCTTCGCAACACAAAAATAACGCCTTCATTTATTATTACGAATTAAATCATTCTTAATCCTTTCTGGAATTTTTTCGAGAAATAAGTATTTAAGATTTACTTCGTAATTTTTAATACAGATATTTTGAGTTTTTATGTATTTTTGCCTTGTCGCGAAGTGAAAACTGAATTAATTGAATGAGAAATACTCAATCGTCTGAGAAAAACTGTTTCTTTTTCGTTTTTGTTTGCTTAATTTCTTTTATACATCATTCTAGCTTTGTTATAGTATTTGAATAGAACATGTGGCAACGATTAGATAATTCTTTAAATGATATAAATTTTGTGCATTCTGAGTTATAATATGAACGAAATATAATACTGTTAAGTAAAACCTAGCGCCAGAGTGTCGCTATGGTAAACAAAGTGAATTTTAAAGAATGCATTTATTCTATTGTGGTTTATGCGCTGTCGGAGAAGTAGGTTTAATTCAATCTAATAAGTTAAATGAAATGCAAGAAAAAAATGCGTATAATTTAATATTCCGTACAAGGAAGTCATGTGGTGTACACATCAGATTTTTCATCTTGTATATCTTGGACAAATCGACATTTTTTTTCTATTCTGTAAGGAATGGAAATATTAAGCGAGACATTAAAAATTAAATTAAATTTACGCAATCTAGCAATTATAAATTTCAGGTAAATTTGCAAAGCGTATTACTAACACAATTGGTAAATTTGATAAATAAATCATTGATGAAATTGAACTTATTTATTTATTTGAATTATTACCCTGTCGTCACCTATGAAATGTCCAAGACCTAAACCAGCGCCAGGGACATCTCTTAATTCTTCGTCACGATAAAATTCGCGGACTTGCACTGATGTCCCTATTAGCCAAGTGATACATGTCATAACAACAGGAACCCATATTAATTATTAAATATGTTACATAACACTTTTATAATTTAATTAACAACATGAAACCATATTAATTATTAAATTTGTTACATAATACTTTTATAATTTAAATAACATAAATGAAACATATTAATTATAATGACAAAACCATATTAATTATTAAAGT